TATAAAGGGGCCTTATAACACTGTGGTATCGTATAGCCTAAGGCGCTAATGTCTTATCTTACTAAGCTCGCTATTATTAATCGAAGAGCTCGAAAAAGCGCTCTACTAAAATAGAAGCTATAAATATATATAGAGTATATTTCTTCTATTGTTTCCTTAGAATTAGTTAATTAATTATAAAGTATATCTTATTAAATAAAAGAATATCTTTAAAAGAAAGATATACGTCTAGAATAATTATATATATTATTTTATTATTAATTAAATAAGTAATTATCTTCTATCTTCTCTTTATCTTTATTCTTTTATTTCTTTATTCTTAATAACTTTCTTATATATATTTTAAAATTAATTATCGATTTAGTACCTCTATAAATTTAATAAATTTAATATACTTATAAGAAAATCTAGCTCGACTATATAATTAAGATCTAAATTAATTTTAAAGTCTATTAAGCTTTATAGCGTTTATAAAGCCTATATATCGAAATTTAATTTACTTTAATTCTTTAAGTATTAGTCTCTTATATATCTCTCTTATATCGATAAAGAGCGTCTTTTTAACGAGTTTAAAGCTTAGTATATTATTTATATTAACGCTCTATCTAAATATAAGTTATTTTAGAATAAATTCGATAACTATTAAAAGAAGAATAGAAGATAAATTTTATATATTAGATAGTAAAAGCTAATTACTATTAGTTATATTATAATTATAATAATTTAAAATATATATATTATTAAGTTAAAGTTTATTAATAGATATCTTATAATTAAAAATCTTAATATTATTATATTTATACTTAAGAACTAGATAATTAATTAAGTAAATATCGAGAATATAAAGAAGAGTATCTATAAGAATTATTTTTATATAATTAAATATTCTAAATTAAAAGCTTATCTAATAAAGCTTTTTAAGATAATTTAAAACTATAATAATAGGGTTAATAAGTAATAATTTATTTAATAAGCTAAGAAGATCTTTAAAGCTATATTTTCTAATTAAGTATATAAAAAGATTAATTAGCTAATTAACTTTATAAGTTTTAATTTTTTAAATAATTAATTTTAAATATTTCGAAAAAGAAATAAAATTTTAATTCGTTATTCTATAAAAAGAACTTAAAAAGTTTAATATCTTCTTTTAAAAGTCTATATAAGAGTTATTATAATTATTAATATATCTATTTAAGCTCTCGAAGATTATTATAAATAAATCGGTTTTTAATTTTAATCTAATAGACATAATTCGTAGTCTTTTCTTAATTAAATACCTTTATATAATAAAAGTCGCTATCTTCTAGACGATATTAGTAATATAAATTAAATCTTTATACTCTATAAACTCTTAATTAAAACGTTTTACGATTTTAAGAGAGTAGAAATTATTTAAATCAAGAAAATTAGATTTAAATAAGATAAAATATATATTATATTATAATTTACGTTATAATTAATAAATTTTCTTATTATAGACCTTTTTTAATCTTTAAAAAAATAAATAATCTTAAAAACTTTATAATTAAAAACGAGATAAGATAATATAATAAGAGGGTTGTTACGGATTCCTCCACTAGGCGTCCCGATTGGGCTTAGTGCCTTGGCACTGCAGAGACTTCTTCCACTGCAGGCCTACATTCATAGAATTATCACACCACACACACACATTATTCATGCATATGATTCCACTTAGGACTATTCCTTAACAATGGTTAAGGTTTAATAAAATTTAAAGATTTACTATAATAGCGAGATTATAGTTAAATAACTAAGAGAGTAATATAATATAATTATATTTATATTCTTTAATTAAAAAAAGTCTTATTTTTATCTTCTTAATTTTAATATTTTTAAAGATTAAAAAATATCGAAGATAAAATAAGCTCTAAAGAATCTTAACGTTATATCTTCGTTTATTCTCTTAAACTATATCGACTATATTTAAATATTCGATATAATTATTAATAAATCTCTAAAAATTCGTATTTAAAGATAATAGAATCTTTATTATTAGAATTATTTCAGCAAATAAAAAGATAATAAATATTTCGTTAATAATTATTAAGTTTCATTTATAAAATAAGTGATTTAAACTTAAGAGAATTTATATAAAGAGCTTAATAAAATAATTTATAATATATATAAAAAGCTTAAATTAGCTCTTATTATTAATAATTCTAACGATTATAAAATAAGTATTAAAGATTTATTTAAATTTTAAATAGAGAAGTAGTATTTAAATCTATCTATTAATTAAAAGAAGAATATCTTTAATATTTTAATATTTAATATAAAGAAAAAGAGAAAGAAGAACTTTAATATAGATTTAAAAGCTATATATATAATAAATAATAAAAAGAATATTAATAGTAGCGATAGCGAGATCTATAATAAGGATTTAAATAATAAGAATAATAGCGATAAATTAGACGCTATAAGAGAGATAGTATCTAATTTAAAAGCGTAGAGTATTATAAATAATCTATATCTACTGCGACTATATAGAGTTATTCTACTTATCTTACTACTAAAAGTTTACTTAATTAATTATTAATAAATTTAAATATTATAAAGAGAGCTACGAAGAGAATATTTCTAATTTTACTTTAAGAGTCTAGTATAATTAAGTATTATTACTTAGTAAACTATTAAGATCTCTATCTTATAATCTAATTATAGCCTACGTCTAAAAACTACTAATTTGAATAATATTTTATATGCAAAGGGGCTTTATAACGATGTGGTCTTTTATATGACAATTAACCCGGTAATAATAATCAAAATAAGATAATCATAATAAGACGAAGAAGAAGAAGAAGAAGAAGAAGAATGCTTATTTCAACACAGACAATCTTGGCCCTGCTAATACTCGTGGATTCCAGAAATGAGTTACTTGATAGAGCGAGGACACCAATAGATCAAGCGACATGCCGCTGAGTGGAAATATCTATTGGTGTCCTCGCTCTATCAAGTAACTCACTTCTGGAATCCACGAGTATATCTACGCGGGGATGAAGATCAAGAATACCTAGGTACCTAGTACTCGTACTTAAACGGTCGTTTCACTATGCGCGGATCAAAATTTCTCTCTCCGTTTGCTGGTTGAGACTCTGCGTCTCTGCCTCTCATCAGTCTCTGTCGGCTTCGATCTGAGGACTCGATTAGATACTCGTGATCCGACCGCACCAACGCCAAGTGCGAGCTGTCATTACAGAGATACGCCTGCTAAAGCTGGGCACATTCCGGTACTTTTACTTCCGGAACTTTTCTGCTTCAGATTTGAACCTCCGTTAAGGATTGCATCCTACGTAGGACATCATTAATCCCTGCTTCTGCACACGAATTGCTGAGGTTGTGTTGTACCTTGCTCCTCGACGGTTACTTGTCGTGCCGTGAGGAGCTTTTCGATGAAAAGCTCCTCCAGTATGACTTTTACAGATATGCAACAAGCGAGGATCTTGGACATGATTTTCTGGCACGTCTTCTGTAGCTTTCCGTTGGTGAACGGTGAAAATAGGTTCAAGAACAGGGACTGTGCCAATTGCAATAGGATGAACCCCTGAAAACAACGGACAACATTAGACAACATGGCCCCCGGAAAGGCTTCGAAGGCCCAAAAAAGGGCACGTCTTACTCGTCTTTCAGAGAGCGGGGTCTAAGCCTGCTGGAAGTCTTATATTTGTTATCAGTAGCTTCTGCTTCTCCTGTCCATCGAAGATTTCGAGCCCGCTAGGCTTCGTGGGGCGGTCTTTCGTCTCCCATCGGCACAAGTGTGCATTCTTCCATCTTTGTCTCCCTTTCATACCTTCTGGTACTGGAAAAGAAGACCTAAAGCGCCGTTTGGATATGCTAATGGTTTCGAGCCGTTATGCTGGAAACATGTAAGCTGTCAATTCGAGTGATCACATCGTTGCCTTTCACTTCAAAGACAAGCAATCGCTATTCTCAACCTCGAATATTGCGCTAGGACCAGCATAAGTTTCCAGCTCGAAATGGATCCACCTTCGTGGATTGTAGATTACACAGACGCAGTTGGGATTTTTGGCTCTTGTATGATGAAGCTGAAGAATTTGTCGCTGCTCCGATATGAATACAGGTGTGGAACGAGTTTAGCGGAAACATTTTGAGGCAAACGTCGTTGGCATCGTTGAGAGATAGCATGTACAATGATCTGCCTCATCCACCCACGGATGGAGCTTTCAAGTCAAAAGAACATATTAGACTCGATTGGGGAAAGATGAAACAAACAACTCTGGACACTTTTCGGTCACGACAGCCAGGCTGTTCTGTGCTGGACGATTCAGGCTATGTCACAAGTCATTGTCTTGCGTTCCCTCTGTCCGACTATCTCGTTCCAATTGCCGTTCTCCAAGCCTCTGCTCGCAACGAGCGTACAGTATTGTCTTTGTCCAGATACCTCTGTTAACAATGCGTTGGTCCTTTGTCCTACTAGGAGGCGGACCTCGAGCCAAATGCCACTGACAATGCATTGAATCTTGAACAAAGATACTATGTCATTGTCCAGAAAGTTGATGCGAGGAAGCAGTCCTTAAATTTGACGCCTCTCTGCTTCCCAATTGCTCTCCAACCATCCGCTGTGTGCAACATCCCCTCTCACTCTCTCTCTCACTCACTCACTCATCTCAATCAGCTCTGCCAGTCAGACCATTCGGTCAGAAAGCTCACCCAAGCACGTAAGTCTTCTTCTTTCGAGACTCACTCACATCCTCTTTCCAGCGACCATGGGTCTCGGCAGCACCATCTCCCGCAACCCCTCGGTTGCAGGCTCATCCATATATGAGCCCTCCCATCGAACCAGCTCAGGATCATCAACCGTGCATTCTGCACTGCGTTCCGCCTCATCCATCTATGAATCGTCTGCCCCCCAATCTAGGTCCTCCTCCACCCTACGTGCGACCTCAAGTCGGGCAAGCACGTCCGCTTCAACCTCCAAACCTTCCACCGTGCGTGCTTCGACCGTCACCTCCGCGACCTCTATGTCCAAACTGATGCGGTCCGCCTCCACCGCGTCCACAAGTCGCGAAAGCTCGTCCGCTTCTTTAAGTTCCACTGTGCGCCCTCCAACCGTCGCCTCTAGAACTTCAAAAAACCCTGCGGTACGTGATTCAACCGCAACCTCCACGTCCAAGCTTATTCGATCCGCTTCTACGGCCTCCACACTGCGTCCACTAACATCAACTCCCGCATCCTCCACCACCAGCCTCCTTCGCTCAACCTCTAAGCGCGCTCCCTCACACTTCTTGACCACCGCAAGCCGCATCCTCTGGGGGCGTCCACCACCCAGCCATTCCACCCTACAGCCGTCCCAAATTGCCGCCCTCACGCACACCCTCTCCCTCCCCGTTGAGACTCCAATGCTTTCCAGTGTCGTAGGCGCCCTAGGTGTGCCGCTAAGTCGAAGCCAATTCTCCCCTACCCCGAGCTGTTTCTGCAACGCTCACTTCTGGTTCGAGCAGAAATACATCGACGAGCTGACCGAAGTCATCACGCACGAGATCGGCCCTCAACTCGACAAGCTAAGGATAGCTCCCCGGGAACTCATCTCAAGAAAGACCGAACGCCTCCTCTCAACCCTCCAGCCCTACCAAGACATCCTCACCAGCACCACCGACACCAGCAGCATCCTCAGCATGGAACCCACCTGCCCGGCCTGCACGCTGAGCCACTTCTTCCAAAACCCCGCCGCGGTCAACGCACTGACTCTGGCCGTCAAGGGCCGAAAACACCGCGCCCATCCGTGGCCCGCCAGCATGGCCTGGCTCGATCCCTGCCCCGGTAGGGAATGGGAAGCCAAATGGAGGTCGGAGGGCAAATCCGTCGCGCACGACCGCGTCCGCGTGCAGCGCTGGCGGAGGGAAACTCGCGCGCACGAACGAGTGCCCGACGCGCCCCCGCAGGTGCTGGGCCACCAGCCGGGCGAGGGGTGCGATTTCTGCGACGCCCTGCGCATGGAGCGGGCGGATGAGGCGGAGTTGGACGCCGCGATCGCGGAGGAGGAAGAGGAAGGCGACGACAAGGAAACGCGCGCTGTGGGAGAACCGGCAAGGTATAGCGGAGCTGCAGACGAGATCCATGATGATGATGATGATGATGACGATGCTTCCGGTTCCGAAACCCTCCGATCCGACTCCTCGACCACCCTCCGCGCGATGGAAGAAGAGAGTATCATCAAAGGCTACCTGAGACCACCGACGACAACGACGGACTCCGCATGCCACCCCCGTCCCGACGCCGACGACCTCTCCGGGAACAAAGCGGAGCAGGAAGCGAGGAGGAAATCGTCCGTGATGGGGGGCTACCTGGCCCACAGGGGCGGGAGAGGGGAGGGAGAGCGGGCGAAGAGGGCGAGCGATTGGGCGAGGAGTTATCAGTGTTTGGTGGGGCGGAGCCCGGATTCGCAGACGACGTTGCTGTTTGAGCGGTATTCGGAGCCTGGGTTGAGGGCCGTTGAGGGGTGGATCTAGAGGGCGGGTGGGTGGGGATTGATCGGGGGTTTTGGAATTTGGGGGCATGTAGACGGGATTTGGTTCTTGTTTTCATGATGATGGATAGAGCACACTGGATGTCAGGTGAGAACCCGCATTATCCACACTTTCCGTTGTTACATTTCCCAGCAATAGATGGCTCGTATAAATTCACACGTAAGAATCTTTTTTTGTGCTTTAGACGTGGACGATCGAACGCTATGATTTCTATTGTATTACGCGATTGTCTGGAGCATATGAAGATATGGAGCATATGAAGATATGACAAACTCTAGGCAGATGGCGTAATTGGATTATAAGTGTTTCTCCCCTTCAATGCAGAAGGGGTAGAGCCCTGTAATCGAGCGCTCATTTGAGAAGATTATACACCATGTCCCGACAATAAGGACTCCATTCCTGGGAGAATATACACGAATCGTACACCGGCCCGCATGCAACCTCAAACCCAGAACGAAGGTTGGTTTTGTACAATTAAACATCACTCCATTAGCATACCATTTGAGGTACTAGAACAAGATTGCTACCTGCTCCCATCAACTCCGATGATGCCCCTCGCCCTTCCATGCATACTTGTCGGTACCCGATCCCTCAATCCTTTGAAGCCGTCTTTGGACGATAGCGTACTAGGTGCTCTCTTCCTCGGACTTCGCCTTAGGAAGCCTCTGGCCTCTTTCTCTTCATACGCTTCATCGACTAGGACACCCGGCCCGCCGTCCTTCTTATCATCTAAGATCTGCTGACGAGAGCCTGCTGCTTGGAGCTCTGCTTTTCCGGCTGGAGGCTCAGGCTGGCGGTTTTTGATGGGTATTGATGGTAGGTCAGTAGCGTCTCGCAGATCATTTTCGTAAGGCTTTGGGTCTTGGGTGCCGCTGTCTGCGGGGTTTGAGTGTGTGACTGTGGTCTTTTCCTTATCAGTATCGAAAGCTTTTTGTGCAGCGAGGCGCGAGCGCTCGTAGCGGGCAGATACGTCTCCGCCGGTCCATACCGTGCCGAGAAGTCGGTCCCAGAAGGTAAAAAATGGTTGTGAGAAGTTCGTCTTGATGCCCCAACTCTGATGGTGCACATCGTGGTAGCCGGCATTGTTTGACGTGATGTGTTGTAGAGGGTCCCAGGGCAAAGCGTATCCACAGTGATCATCGACAGTCTTAATAGTTGAGCCTGCAAAGAAGACCATTCCTTGTCGCGTATTCATCCCAGCGAGTTTGTATGCTATACTTGCGCCAAGCGTGTCCAACAGAAATCCTTCAAATGGGTGATTGTACAGGGCACCGTAGGCATAGGGTACATACAGGCGGTGGTGGCGTGAGTGGAAGGTGGCTATTTGCACCGGTCAGCATTTTGCAATTCAAAACAGAGCTTCCAAGAACGTACTGTATAGCCACTTGTTCATATGCATCGCTCGGTGCAGGAAGTACTGCCATGTATCCACCACCAGAATTGCCAGCCCGAATTGGAGGGCGGGTACCAGAACCCAGTAGATGGCAGAAGCAAGCATGAGCTCCCAGCCAGCAAAGCCTGGCGTACCCATTTTTGAAGCACTGCCAACAACGCTCAAATTTTCCAGCGACGGGTACTGCCCTCCCTGAAGCGCACCGGCGAGCATTGGATGCGACGCTCCAAGATTCTTGGCAATCCCCCTAGCGTCCAGGCCCACAGTAGCCAGCAATCTTGGAATACTCTTCTCCGCAATCCTGATTCGTCTCGCCCACACCGCAACATCATACTGCTCCTTCCCAAAAAAGTCGTCCGGTTCCGTCATGCCAAGCACCCACCCAACAGCCGTCTGAACGACCTGCTGTATCAGCACATCCCGTATGACCTCCCATCTTGAGACCCGATTTCGCTTTGAGACTTCGGCGGGTGTGTGTAATCGGTATTGTGAAAAATAATCTTTTGTGTCGATCCAGTGGAAGAACATTGAGAGGCCCCAGTAGGCGAAGATTGGTAATAGGAGAGTGAGGAGCTTGTCGGGTATTGGAGGAAGTAAGGACGGAAGCGGAGTGAGGTGGTACTCTGGGAGGGGCGGAAGGTTCGAAAAGTCAATCATGGCCGATGCTGTAGCCATCTGGCTTTCACTGAGGTCAATGGCTGTACTGCTGACTCGGCACGCGGCGGGTGTTGGGCCTTTGCGGCCTGGAAGTACAAAAGCCCAGTGGGAATCAAGCTCAGAGATGGTAAGATTTATTAGAGATTTGTATAGTGATATTTCCGACGGCGAGGGCAGCGAAGACAGCGTGAATGAAGAGCAAAGGAGTGTGTAGAGACGGGTAACAATGAAATGCACCTTCGTGCTTTGACTGCGGTTGGTTGGACGTCACCAATTTGCCACCCTTACTCAGCCTCTCCGGGATCCTTGTCTAACTCGATAGAGTAAGCCCTCCTGGCGGCTAATGCCCGGCGTCCGCGATTTTCACCCCACTACGGATTTCAATCGCCCATCTCTGAACGAATTTTTGTCCTCGCTCGAAATTTAATAAAACTCCTTCTGGGCTTCCCTACGGACTATTCTTCTCGAATTACTTATAGACATCTTTATCCATCCACCGATCTAGAAGCTCTCACCATGATTATCTACAAGGTTTGTAGCCTCACCGCATGGAGCCCCGCTTGCCAGCATGGCAGACTGCCCAGAGAGTTCGCAACTTGAGCGCCCAATGACTGATTTCCTGCATCACAGGACATCGTCACGGGTGACGAAATCATCTCTGACACCTACAACCTCAAAAACGTTGACGACGTCGTTTACGAAGTCGACTGCAGAAAGGTCACAAAGGGCGCTGACAACATCGACATTGGCGCAAACCCTTCTGCCGAAGAACAAGAGGAGGCGCTCGAGGAGGGGACCAAACAGGTCATCGATGTGGTCGATGGGTTCAGGTTGAACTACTTGGGAGATGAGTCGAGTGGGCAGAGGGCGTTTCAAACGAAGAAGGATTTCCAGGGACAACTCAAAGGTGCGTCTGGGCTTCCGATGTACCGTAGGAGGGGGTGGTCAGCCCGAGCAAGGAATGCTGATTCAGTGTGCGATGGACAGGGTATTTGAAGAAGGTGGTTGAGAAACTTAAGGAAGCTGGCAAGGATGAGGACTTTATCAAGGGGTTCCAGAAGGGCGTGCAGGGATACTACACCAAGCATATCGTGCCCAATTTTGCCGACTTGGACTTCTACACCGGCGAGTCTATGGATCCCGATGGAATGTATGGGGTCTCCTCCAATCTATTGGACTGCCAACCTCGAATCTATATTAACGTTGCTTCGCAGGGTCGTGTTCCTCAACTACCGCGAGGACGGTGTTACACCATATGTTATTATCTGGAAGCATGGCTTGTCCGAGATGAAGGTTTAGATGCAGGAATTAGATGTCAAAATGGAGTTTGTGCGATATGCCCAACTCTGCTTTCAAAGTTGGAAGGGTTCTCTGGGCATGACCAAATGAATCACTTGCAAGTTTTGATGTATGAATGCAATGAAGACTGCACGGTCGTAACACACTTTCAGTATCTGGCGAGGATATGCAATGCCATTGTATGCCGTTGCTCTATGCTAAAAATATGCTCCGCAGATCTGGGCCCTTGGCCATAGCACTTCTCCACGGCAACATACCACTCTACTAGCAATTCGACTCTGCAAGGCATACATCTGAATATCGGAAAATGGGTCCGAAACCATAACATATTCACAACATTTCTTTCGTGGAGCTCAGTGCAAGGCTAATGGAACGTGCTCAGAAGCCACAATGTGTCCGAAGTTCTGGACTCCTATCCTCGACTGGCAAATCCTCCAATGCGTGTTTAAGCAAGCCAATACGGTTCGAAGATGCGCAGATTCGAAGAGTATTCCTTCGCCTCAGTGGCTGTCCCCTGGGCTATTTGAGTTACCAGAGGCTGGCGTTTCCCTCGCAGGTTGACAGGGTAGTCGAGGTGGAAGATTCGAGGGCAAAGGTAAATCTCGGTACGGGTGCAGTATTCCATCGTCTGGCAGGGGGTAAAATTCAGGGGTTCCGACCGAACATCAAAAAACACCCCCATAGCATGTTAGTGTAATTCAATGACGCCTGCTTTCACAACAAAATACTTAGTGTCGCGATTAATCTTTATAAGCAGATCTAAGATTCTATAATAGAAAAATAAGTCTGTGATTCTTGTCGTTCAAAAGTCGTTGTGTGATGAACATACAGATATTTGATGTTCTGCCAGACATGTTACCCCCCAGGCGCCAGACGATGGGATAAATCACGTGATCGTCCTTGCCAAATATCTGTCCACGTGGTTGAGCCAAGTCCAAGGGTCTCAAGACATGAGCCATATGATAAGAGCGCGTTGGCAACGTCCATTGCGATCATTGCATGGAATGTCGGGAAGGACGAGGTCTCCGCATCTGCTTTCTGGGTTGGCAAATTGCGGATATTCAAAGTCTTGAGGTATTTAAACCGACTAAACTGATAAAGATGCTTGCGAATCAATAAGCCTTTGTCTTCTGTTAACAGCGCGATAGTTGACTTACCGCATGGTCTCCACTGGTGAGAGCGTCCACGGCCAACCCAAGCTCTCGTAGATTAGGGCAATTTTCAACGATCTTGTCAAGGGAACTAGACATCATAAATGCAGTAGCTGTATTGGTAGATTCATCAAGCTTTGTCCGAGCACCTTGTCTTTGGTCCCAAACTAACGTCCGCAGAGTTGATCCATGGTTGCCAACGAAGCAATCCGGGGGCAAGAAGGGACCAGAACCTTCGAGCAGGACAGCCAGGTGTACAAGCCCTTTTGAGGCAAGCAGGAAGGCCTTTAAGCCGTCTTGAAATGACGCGTCGGAGCATTCTTGTCTTAGTCTGAAGCTACGAAGCTGAGGTAATAGCGGTGGCGCATCTGGAATTCGCTGAGGAGATAGCGTGGGGAAGCCTTGCCTCAAATTGAAACAAGACTCCAAGCAAAGCGAAGTGAGCTTTTGAATGTCCAACATTGTGGGTGCTCCAATCTTGG